TTCAATGAATTATTATATGAAATATTTGATTACCTTGATGGATATCAGTTATATAAAGCATTTTCCGATCTTAATTTTCGATTTGAAAAACTTCTTCATTCTTCATCTATGTTATATAAAACTCATCTTTTTTTATCTGAAAATGATGAATTTATAAACAAGCTTAAAAAATTTATAGTGTCCAATCGGCATCAAATGTATTCTATGCATTTAAATTTTATTTTACAAGACAGCTATTTTTTTCACAGCTTTTATCAAATTCATCGTTTGATCATCTTGAATGTATTCTGGTTAAAGTCGTTCAATCCGATATACTTATTCCAATTCTATTCAATTTATCGTATTTACCATGTCTTTTCGCGTTGACAATCGAAACATGGTATATTAAAGAAAAAATTAATGATATATATCGATTACAATTTTGTTTTACGTAAATTAAAATATTATCGTATGTTCTGTTTTTATGATAATCATTTAATTACACTTCCATTAGCGACAAATAACCAATGCAGTCCACTTGAACGTCTTATTATCAATCATCGTTGTTCTTTAAATGAACTTGAATCATTAATTCCGTATACAGCAGAACTTCGTCAATTAACTAGTCATCAAACTGATTCAAATATTACGATGTTACAATCAATTACGTTAATTGATTTGATGTTTATTTATTTACATATGTGCAAAATATCATTTTATGAATTAAAAACATTCTTAGTTAATATATCTTCAACTTTAAAGATCTTGTCTATTCATTGTTCAGAAAATATCATTTTTCTTGATGCTCATCGATGGAAACAATTTATTTCATATTATTATCCTCAATTAGAAAAATTCTATTTCACATATTATGATCTTACTGATAATGATAATCAATATGAAATATATCCTGGACAAATAAATCAATTTTCTTCAACATTTTGGATTGAACGAAAATGGACATTTCATGTTAAAATTGATAATGCAGATATCAAATATGTCGTTTATCCATACAAGTATATCGATGAATATTTTTTATGGAAAATTAATTCTTCTATTTTTTTTTCAGAAAAACCCGGTATGATTATATGGATGATAAGAATATTGAACATTCAACATCAACTAGTTTAATGTTAGCAATTGATCTTAATCCTTTTTATCTTGAAATATTATTCGAAAGAATCCAACGTGTGTTAACAATAACACAAATATATCATTTGGAAATTATTGAAGAATATATAGTACCCGGAATGTTAATTCGATTGGTCAAACAATTGTCGGATGTAATAACATTAAAATTTCATTCTTTGGCATCGAAGGGTGTGGGTGTGTGGGTGGGTGTGGCTGTGGCTGTGGCTATGGGGTGTGGGTGGTGTGAGTGTGGGTATGGGTGGATGTGGGGTGTGTGGGTATGGGTGTACACTTCCCTAAATCCGCACACTCACACCCACATCCTAGTTGGTAGTGTAACTGGAAATATATCAACAGAAAGAGCACAAATATTGTGATGGAGAAGGATCGGATCAGAAAATTTGTATGGTTACAATTTCATGATTTTTCTTTTCAAATGAAATATGTGACCATCTATTTCTTTATATTTTAATTACTTTATTGAATAAATTATCTTTAAGATACAAGAAACATCAAGTTGTTTTATACAGGAATTGAGCATTGAACCTGTTATATTTGTAAGTAAACTATAAAGAAAGAAAACAATTGAAGAACCATTTCATGCAAATGATTCGTATGATATATTATTTTAAAGTACAAACGAGTAATACACGTGATATTTCGATTTGTTTTGTCATATTCTTCATTCAGTAAACTTTGACCAAAATAAGAAAAAATGACATCATTATAAACATATAGCAAGACAACATAAGTACACGCACATTTGTTCTTGTCATCATCAAGGTAAAAAAATGAATTCAGACAAATCAAATTTATATTCTTCACCACCGTATAATTATGCAACAATACAACCAACTAATTCATTTACCAATCCATTTACATCTAATCAATCTTCACAATTGACTGTCGATGAAAATGGAAATGAAACAAAACCAACGTTAATTGAGTTAAGAGTAGAATAAAATACTGGTTAAGCAATACAAACTTAGAAAATGGAAGAAAAATTATGTAGTAATTATTTTGTAAAGGTTTTCGTAACGACTTGAAAAAACCAGATCGTAATTTAAACCGAAAGCAACAACTCAACCCATTGAAAATATCTGACAATTAATTGCAATCTCGAATTTCTAAAATATTTTTTCATAACGCAATATTATCAATTCAACAGCAACAATGACTCATGTCAATATTTGATCAATCAGATAAATATCAGCCGATTCTTCATGGAAACTGTCATATTGGTAATAATAAAGTCATTTCGAGTCATGAAATTCTCATGTGAACAAGTCCAGCCTAATTTGGGTTTTGTTATTCATACCATGCCATTTGATAAGCTAACAATGTTCGTCGAGTTTCAATCAAGAATTAATGACAAGACGAGGGTGCGGGTGTGGGTGCGGGTGTAGATGTTCATTTTTTTCTATCCGTTTCCATACCCACACCCACACCTTGTTATTCTAATACATCATTTACAAACTGAACAATTTCTTGTCGACTATAGTTGTTTTCAGTAATAATCGATGTCAAGAACGAGAATTCATTATTTATTTCAATATTTAAAACTCATAATGTCTTTTTCGTTTGAGCGCGCCCGATTTCATTTATAATTGTTGCTATATAGTCGATAATAATCATTTTTGTGTTTTTTTTTATTTAAAATTATATTATTTTTTCACCATCAACTATTTAATGAATAAGACTAATTACAATAATGCAGTTTGTATATATCAACAGTTCTTACCACACTACTATATATCTCAATTCATCTATAAATGATGATATTGTTTGCTTTTCACACTGATAAAAAGATCGAATCACATCTTCATATTGATTATATAATTCTTATGACAGATCAATATATATAACCACTCTTCATCCTTGATTTTTAGCATACAAGTTTTAGTTATAAAACAGTGAACGACTACACTATTAAGAACTTTAACAAATATACAATAGTTTTCAAATAATTTTGAAAGCATTGAAATATTGTACATCAGTCGAACTCATATTATTCATACTGTTCAACTCTTTTTTATTTTCCCTAGACTGAAAGGCTAGGGTCTAGAAACCGAAATTCACCTGTGTCTGTCTGTCTGTCTGTCGGTAACGCGGTCAAAATGGCCATTTTTTTGGCACACGTGACCATTTTTTTGGCACAAACGACCATTTTTTTACTAAAATTAACTAGGTAACTATGGTACAAATGAGCATGTAACTATGGCACAAACGGTCATTTTTTTGGTACAAACGACCACGTAACTATGGCACAAGTGACCATATAGCAACCATGGTACAAACAACTATTCCGGTAACTATGGTACAAGTGACCATCTAAAGACTGATGTAAATGAACCCATAATAATCATGGGTAAAATGTCAATGGAATAGCTATAATTCGGGTAGTGGTGTAAAACGGCTTAGAAAAGCATTTAATTAGTGATAGTCAGAGCAAATGAGCAGTATGGATTTAAAGAAATCGTTTAAATTATTCATTATTGTAGGATTGATTGTGCAATGTTGTATCAATGAATATCTAATTTATTAATAGTTTAGAATTAATGCGCGAATTTAAGCATAAAATATTGATTAATAAAACTCAAATTTTATGAATAATATAATTCATATTTTTGTACGTACAAATAACGCCAATATAATTATAAAAAATCGTATTGTTGTCTAATCTTATTGGGCGCTATTTATATTTATAAAAGCAAAAAAAATAAAACAAAAACGATAAAAAAAATTAAATTTGTAAATGCATCATCTTTACTTAGAGTGAGAATTCTCCAAATTAAGTTTTCTGCTCGTCTAAGATATACTGGTCATATTATCAATTTTGCGTATTACTTTTTTAATGTAGCTTTTTATGCTATTACATCCGTACATGTATTCTATCAGTCTAGGGCTAAGTGAATCGCTTGACGATGAACGTTACTTGTATTGTTAAATAAAGCTAAAGCCTATTGCGCGCGGTTGCAAAGGTCTGTAGGGGGTGTCTGTAAGAGGGGAACCTGTAATATTCTCTTTCGTTGCTATGGTCCGTAAGGGGAGGGGGGGGGGGGCGCGAAACCTTGAACATAAAACTTACCACTCACTATTTTCTTCGAAAATATACGTGAGTTCCACAAAATGATAAATCAAAGTGTTTCTTTGTAAGATTCATATCTTGTATGATTTGATGAAATTCTCTTACAATAAATATATCATTCGGGCTTTCAATATGAAGTCACTAAAATAAACTACAATTTAAAAATTGAATTGTTAAATGTTTTCGCAAACGCCGAAAGTTGCCAACTGTTCTCAAATCTGGAGCTTCAATCTCGCTATTTTCTTCAAAGCTTCTATCACAGGTTCATTGTCGCTGCCATAGATGAAGTTTTCTCTTATACTAAGTGACGTTAATACCTTTAGAAAATATATGAGAATATAGGTGGTAGTAGATGAGATAATAAGAAGAAAATCACTGTATTATATTGTAAAGCTTCAACAAGACATTGAACGTTTCCGATGTAATTGCCATCAAGTTCAAGTTTGGTGAGCGTCTGTATGAAAAAATCAATAAGAAAATATAGAGTAAATACAATTAATAGAAACTCACTTTATTAGTTTGTAACGCATTCGCTAAACTTTGACATCCTTCATCACCGATATCATTATGTTTAAGACTTAATTCAGACAGTTTCTGTATAAAAGAATCAATATGTACATAAATTAGACTCAATTATCAATAGAAATTCACCGTATTAGTTTGTAACATATCGGCCAAATGTTGAGCTCCTTCGTCTTTGATGTTATTATAGTCCAAGTTAAGACACTTGAGTATCTACATTAGGTAAAATGAATGTGATAATGAAGAAAACGAAAAATATATGAATTTCACCGTATTCTTTCGTAAAGCATCAGCTAGTATCGGGGCACCATCGGCACCTATTCTATTGTCTGAGAGCGAGAGTTTGATGAGCGTCTATATAAAATGGCAAATTACGAAAACACGTATGGAATGGAAAAAGAAAAGTACTTAACCTTGTTCATTTGCAAAGCATCTGCCAGACATTTAACATCTTCAACTTCAGTTCCGTCAGTATCAGTATTGATAACCTTTATACGAAAATAAAAATATCGGCAATCTTAGCGAAGAATCAAACAAAGTGTACCAGGTCAGTTGATGAGCCAGGTACTCGATAAAAAGGTGGTTTATTTCCGATTTTATCCTGAGATAAAGTGAGCTCTTTGAGTGTCTATATTACAAATAAGAATAAAAATTTCAAAAGAAGACCAGTGACATCAAAAAGTTCCAATCACTTGATTATTTCGAATAGCATTTGCCACGTGCTGAAGAACTTCTCCTCGAATATCGTATTGCGAAAAATTAAACTCGATAAGACTCTACAACCAAAATTGAAGGTTAAAATTAGATTGATCCATAAAGAAAGACAGCTTACTGTGTTATTTTGCATTGCATTGAAGAGACACTGAATTCCTTTATCTTCAAATCCATTGCCACTGAAATCGAGTGTAGTAAGTGTCTATATGCAAAAATGATGATTATAAGTGGAGATGGAGAAAAAATATGCACTTTATCTTCTTGTAAACCGTCAACCAAATATTGGGCGCTTTCGTCTCCCAATCGGTTTTTACTGAGGTTTAGTGATGTAAGTGCCTATATAATGAATTAGAATGAATATGAGAAGAACAACAAAAATAAAACAAAAAAAATTAACCGTATTATGTCGTAGAAGATCACCAAGATATTTTCCTCCTTCGTTCTGAATGTTATTTCGACTCACATTAAGTGTTTTGAGTGCCTTTGGATAAATGAATAGATAGAAATAATGTAATTCACAGAACAAAACTTTTACCTTATTGTTACGAAGACCATTCACCAAATATGCAGCTGCTTTGTTTCCGATAAAATTATATTGGAGATTCAATGAATTTATTGACTATAGATACACACACAGATGAAAATCAAGATAAGAGATAATAAAATAAAACAAATCACTGTATTCGTTGCCAAAAAATCAGCCAAATATTGAATTCCATCATCAGTGATTTTGATTTCAGCAAGTTCTAGTGTGTTGATTGTCTGTAAGAAAACTAAGAACAGGATTGAGAAATATTAACAGAAAACGAATCTCACTGTGTTGTTTTTTAATCCCTCAATCAAATTTTTGATACCTTCGTCTCCAATCGGATTCTCGTTGAGATCGAGTGTGAAGACTGTCTATATAACAAATAAAAATGTGTTGGAGAAGATGATGGATGAAAGAAGTTCACTTGGTTATATTTCAAACCATCAGCAAGATGTTTGGCTCCTTCGGCGCCTATATCATTTTTGGAAATGATCAGATTTGTAAGTGCCTATGAAAAATATAAACGAAAGACGAGAATGTTACAAATAATTGCGAATGTTGTGAATGATAGGTTATAACTTCCTATTGAGAATTGGCAAATTAAACGCTTCCTAACACAACACAATAAATCAGCAAACAAAATGTCACCTAAAATTTCGCCGATCGACTGCTACTGATCTTTATGTTTCATATCGTAAGCAAACCAATTTTACAGATTGAAATATACAGGAACTCGGGAATAAGCGAAAGCATATGACTCCAGAAAAACAAAACGTCGTCTGCGACTTAGTAACACTGATAAAAGACTCTACCGTATTAGTCTTCAGCATATCACCAAGGTGTTTCATCCCCTCATCGCCAAGGCTTGTGAGAACCATTTCCAAAGTTGTGAGTGCCTATATTGAAGGACAGGCATTGAAATAAAAGCGATAAACATGAAAGAAATTTACCTGTTGGTTTCTCAAGGCATCAGCCAAATATTGAACCCCATTATTTCCAAAACAATTGGCCGTAAGTATCAACTTATTAAATGTCTGCATTGAAAGTAAAAAAAATACAAATAAACAACATCAATCGCATAAAATTCGAATTAGAAAATGAATTATGTT